CATAGTGACATGATCTGTAGTGATCAATTGATATGGAACCATTAATAGATCGATGAAATTCATGAGTGTGCATTTATGATCAGAAAGATGTGATCAACAAAGCATACACCTAGTATTATGCCGCACTTCTTGCGAGTGAATTCCAATATCAATAGAAAAAAGAATCGATACTTTCGTTCCAGAATGCGAATGAAATTCCGGGGAACGCTAACAATACTAATCGGAGAGGATGTTATCAATCGAGAGTGTTGCCAAATATCCTGACGATTTGGATGACTGCATTGAGTTTCTGGATCTTTTGACTGCGTCGAACAGAGTTTAGGAAAATTCGGTTCCCTTCGTTAATAGTCGGAACAGAGAAAAATTGGGTGTACTGACTCTACCAACCAATATAATGCGGGGCATGGAACGAAAATCTTAGATTATCAAAGGAAAATAGAATTTCATCGAAAATGGAAAGTGGAATTCATAAATCAAATGAATATCAAATGGAATCAGTCGTACATTCTTTGTAACTTAATTAAAAGTGATTTAAGCCATCATGGTGGAGTTAGATGAGCTAAAAATCGATGGACAGATGGGGTGCTTGATTACCTTATCAGTCGAAATAGCATTGTGATGGCTAGTAAGAAGGAAAATAGAAAGGGACTATATGAGAGAGTAGCAATGCAGAGGGTTCATGAATCTGGAGTGTCATGCATCAGATGCGAGCGTGNTTGACGTTTTTTGACAGAGTGCATCCAGAAGCCTATTGCGAAATTGCAATGTATTGAGTAAACAACATCATGAAAACTACTGATCTCTGATCAGTTATTTAACATTGCATCATTGAAATTGCATCATCAAAGGGCAGACTAGAGCATAAGCATATAGTCCATTCTAAGTAATGATAACAGATTGCTTCGATAAGATACTGATCATCGATATCACAATCAGCCTGAATCAAGAAGAGGTGCACGTGAAAGACGACTGATACAATTGAGATGTTCAATATCTTTAATTTCAATGCAGCTGAATCGCTCTGATGAGCGAATGGCTTTCTAGCAATAAGGTACTCGAGAACAGATGTAACAAAACTGCTGAATGAATAATATAAAGTATCCCTGCATGCATACATCGAAACAATCGACAACAACCGAATAGAATGCCGCAGAATATGATTTCTAAGATGTGAATAAAAAGAATGAGAACACCATATTTTTCATTTTTTNGACAACAACCGAATAGAATGCCGCAGAATATGATTTCTAAGATGTGAATAAAAAGAATGAGAACACCATATGGGGGCAAATATGTTCCAATACATTATTTCGACGCTTGATTAGGGCTGTATAGAAACTGCTTCAATAATTCGCCATTATCACGGTCTAATCAAAATCTGTATTACAGCACATCAAACAAAACTGACACGAAAATATCAATATTAAAATGAGGAGTAATGTTGTATACGCCGAGGGGCATAACTCTCGTGACTTGTCAATTGATATTAACATTTTAAGTGAATTTTTGTACTAATCGATTTCGGCTACAACATGTTATATATTATGACTATAAATTTTCCCTGTCGGGTGGGTAACAATTCAAATTATTTGTTGAATTTTTGCACTTAACGCGAAATCGATAATCTCGAAGATAACTTGCTTACTGGCAACTCTGTCGAACAGCTTTCACTTTTCTAGATCTGCGCT